CGTCAGGCAGTTGGGCAGGTTGGTTGGACAAAACCCTGGTGCCCGAATGGATCCGAATGGTATTATCGGATCATGGATGTTTAATTCCTCAGTCCTATGGTAATAAAAACGCTTTTGACCCATCCCCACTTGGGGGGCCTCCCAGACAGAAACCCCGGTTGACCAGTTCGGAAGTTCCCCATCCCATTGAGCCCAAAGAAGTGCTGCAGCATGTTGTCCTCAGGTTCCGAAACGCAAGAGGAGCAAGGTGCCGCAAGAGGCACAGCAGCTAGGTTTGATGAGGGGAAATTTCAAGATGATCACAAACCAAGTGGTGAGCCTGTGATACTTATGAAAGATAACGGTTAAAAAAGGCAGAACTGCACAGCATCCAAGAAAAAGAACATATCACATACACATTTTTTGTGGATCCAATTCAAAAACTGGGGGCCATTTCTAGTAATTTCTAGTATTCACCATCCTAATTTTGGGGTAGCCAAGGCATGTAGCACATTTTTGTCCCATCTTGGAAATGACAGGAATGACATGGGTCTGCCTGAAAATGGAAGTAGTTTACTAAACCTCCAAATGGCCATCGAAAAAAGGAAACATGCTGATTCACCAGTGGATGGAATGGAGTTTTTGCCATTTTCAGTCAAACCATGGGATGGATCTTCTATGATATCCTCTGGAGATCGAGGGTGACGTTCGCATTCTTGGAAAACCATCCAATTATATATATATAGTGACTATAGATTATTATAGTGGATAACTATAATCAACTATAATCATCTATAATCACCTGTAGTTTCATTTACTATATATAGTGGATAGTAAATACGACAGGTCAATCATAACTAGCCACAGGCACGTGGTTTCCCGCTCTCCCAGGCGCCAGAAGCGCCAGAAGCGCCAGAAGCGCCAGAAGCGCCAGAAGCGCCAGAAGCGCCAGAAGCGCCAGAAGCGCGAGCGCGAAAAGGGAGCGGAGCACAGTGGCGATCCAGCCATAGCATGGTCCCAGGCTTGAAAGAATATTTCCATAGTTAATGGGTACCTATAAATATCCATCGAAGCCAACTATGATGGATATACATATATATATACACATATGATACATATTCATGGATCTACCATGTTCAGCCATGAACTATGAGTAATGGATATCTGTATTCATAGTTTGGATAGGCCATTCTGTTAGGGTCATCCCATTCATGTTGGGATGACCATAACCCGTCCCGATCTTTTGACCATGGCACATTTAAGATATTTGAATACCATCAACGATGAAGAGTGGATACTTATATCATCTTATATCATATATCATTTCATATTCATGATGGTTTGGATAGCCTCTGGTAATTTAACAGTTCGCAAAAAGGACAATTCACCCTGAAATTCAGAAAGCTACATCGAAGTAAATGGGCCATGGCAGGCGCCGGAGGGAGCAACCCTGCGAAGCAGGGCCCAGGTTGGGCAGGTTGGGAGCCTGAAAATCGATGGTCAAATGGATGGTTATCCCCGAAAGTTGGGCATTTCTAGAATGCGGTAGAATGTTGAGTCCACCAATAAAAAGATTTGGGCATCTTAACTTGCCAGAGTTTTTGGCAACTTGAGATTTGTTGACATGCTCAGGACCAGCCACTTTACAGGTGCGATGTGGGATGAGTTGATCAAATGCAAGGTGTCTGGTTGCTGATGATGCTAACAATCCGCATTTTTTCCATATTTTTTCCGCTCTCAGATCTGAAGAAATTTGCGGTTTGAAATGGATTTTTCTCTTTGCAAGATATCGATTCAACAACTCGGGGTTGAGTGAGGTTGACGGCTGGCCACTGCGAAACTCAATCTGGAGATGCATCCAAGTAAATCTTGAGGGAAATGTTGGGTTGCTGGGTTTTCAACATACTCGAAAATGTATACTGGGCGTAGGTGCTTGAAGGGAGACTAGACTGGCACTAGTGCAGTAGAGATGCATTTCCAAATTGTGCATCTCAAAGGATCACTTACAAGACTTGTAGATACTTGATGATACTTGTAGACTGTAGTTCGCGCATCGTTCATCAAGATGTCAGCAAGAGCACTTCCACTTCAATGACCGCTTCAAGCCTTAAGAGATTAACGTGGCAAGCCGCGCACCGAAGTCTCTTCGGGTCACTGCAGTGGCTGACATTTTTGATCCGTCACACGGTCACTGGAAGCGACAGAGTTTCTGATGCCATGAGGTGATCGGCGGGACCGCAGTGGCTTACAGGAACTGGAGGTGCTCACCGGGCTATGGAAATGGGAGACTTTTGCATGTGGAGTTGTGAGATGGGATGCTGATCCAAGAAATATGTATGTATGTAGGTAGGCAGGGAGGGAGGTAGGTAGGAATGTAGGTCTGTAGGTCTGTAGGTGTGTAGGTGTGTAGGTATGTAGGTATATAGATACATGGATACATAGATACATAGATATATGGATTCATGGATAGATAGATACATGGATACATGGATAGATAGATAGGTAGATAGATAGGTAGATAGGTAGATAGATAGATAGATTAGATAGATCGATTAGATTAGATCAGATTAGACTAGACTAGATTAGATTAGATTAGATAGGTAGATAGATAGGTAGATAGATAGATAGATAGCTAAGGTAGGTAGCTAGGTAGGTAGGTATGTAGGTAGATAGATGGATAGATAGACAGACAGATAGATAGATAGATAGATAGCTCAGGTAGGTAGGTAGCTAGATAGATAGATAGAAAGATAGATAGATAGATAGATAGCTAAGGTAGGTAGGTAGGTAGGCAGATAGATAGATAGATAGATGGATAGATAGATAGCTAAGGTAGGTAAGTAGGTAGATAGATAGATAGACAGATGGATTAGATAGATAGATAGATGGATAGATAGATAGCTAAGATAGGTAGGTAGGTAGATAGATAGACAGATGGATTAGATAGATAGATTGATAGATAGATAGATAGATAGATTAGATTAGATTAGATTAGATAGAAAAGATAGATAGATAGATAGATAGATAGATAGACAGATAAAAAAGATAGATAGATAGATAGATAGATAGACAGATGGATTAGATAGATAGATTAGATTAGATTAGATTAGATTAGATTAATAGATAGATAGATAGATAGATAGATTAGATAGATTAGATAAGATAGATAGATAGATAGATAGATAGATAATTAGATTAGATTAGATTAGATTAGATAGATTAGATAGATTAGATAGATAGATAGATATATAGATGGATAGATAGATAGATAGATAGACAGATAGGTAGGTAGGTAGGTAGATAGATAGATAGATAGATTAGATAGATTAGATAGATTAGATAGATTAGATAGATTAGATAGATTAGATAGATTAGATAGATTAGATAGATTAGATAGATTAGATAGATTAGATAGATTAGATAGATTCGATAGATTAGATAGATTAGATAGATTCGATAGATTAGATAGATTAGATAGATTAGATAGATTAGATAGATTAGATAGATTAGATAGATTAGATAGATTAGATAGATTAGATAGATTAGATAGATTAGATAGATAGGATAGGATAGGATAGGATAGATAAGATTAGATAGATAGATAGATAGATAGATAGATAGATAGATAAATGGATAGCTAAGGTAGGTAGGTAGGTAGGTAGGTAGATAGATAGATAGATAGATAGGATAGATAGGATAGATTTGATAGATGGATAGATGGATATGTAGATGGATAGATGGATAGATGGATAGATGGATAGAATGTTAGATGGATAGATGGATAGATGGATAGATACATACATTATAGATATCCGTGTACTTTGGGGCCACTTGTGGCCCATCAATATTGATCAAATGTTGATGTTTTTAGGGGGCAGATGTATGTTTTCCTTTGCCATCCTTAAGGCGCTACAATCGCAGCTGGATGTGCGTATTTCCCAAGTGATGGAGGTGGTCTCTTGGCGAGTCTCTGATGGTATTTGTGACCATCAGAACTACGGATTGGAGTCTCAGTCACACAATAATTAATCACCCAACAACAAACTAGTCTAGTCTTGGGGATGGTTTGGAGTTTTGTTTACCACATTTCTCACAAACATTTCTTGTAATCATCAGCCACGGGACCCGCCATCAGCTGTGCATTGCTTGCTGAGGACTGTCGAGACATTCCTTTGTCGCCAACGAGGCCCATCAGTGATGTTCCGACTGTCGCAATGAACAGTTGGGTTATGTTTCTAATCCTACACATTCAAGGAAAAACTGGAAAAACTCCTGGAATTTTATATGGACTTGTGATTCCGCCACCTATTGGTCACTGAAATTGCTGGTCTTTGTCGGAGAAATGTCTTGGGATTCCCAAAATTGGTGCTTTGGAAATCCCTTTCGCCTAGATAATACATGATAATACGATCAAATGAAAACCATGATTTTAGTAATCTCTAGGATTGGATCTATTCATTAAAATGGGTAACATTTTGGGGTTATGAAGCGCATAGGACTAGTTGACAACTCGCCCAGGCAGGACCCCAAGCAGGTGCCAACTCCTGCGCCACTCCCGAGGGGAGCAGGCGCAGATCCAGCATGCCGGGTGGATTTTATTATCTGAAGCCTGTGATATTTTTGGAGGTGAATATATATATATATATGTATATTATTTTTTTAATGTTATTATTATATGTAAATATATATATATATGTATATTATTTTTTTAATGTTATTATTATATGTATATGTATATATATATATCATAATGATAATCATTATTATATGTATATACATTATATATATATATATGACATAATATAATATATATGATACAATATATAGTGTAATATATATATATATATCTGATATACAATATAATATAATATCATTTAATATAATATAATATGATATGATATATAATATGATATATAATATGATATATAATATGATATATAATATGATATATAACATGATATATAATATGATATATAATATGATATATAATATGATATATAACATGATATATAATATGATATATAATATGATATACAATATGATATATAATATGATATATAATATGATATATAATATGATATATAATATGATATATAATATGATATATATAATATGATATATATAATATGATATATAGTATGATATATAATATGATAGACAATACACTATAATATAATATAATATGATATAATATGATATAATATGATATAATATGATGTAAGATACAATAAAATATGATATATAATTTAATATAATCTATAATCTGTAATCTGTAATCTACAATATAATATAATATAATAAAATATAACAAACTATAATATAATATAATATAATTTAATATAATATAATATAATATTTTGGAATTTAATATAATACAATATAACTAAATATAATATAATATAATATAATATAATATATTTGAATTTAATATAATATAATACAATATGATATAATATAGCATAATACAATATAATATGACATGATATGATATGACATGACATTTTATGATATAATATATTACATATACACATATATTTGAGTGCACCACATTTTATGAAACAGGAATGTTTCCCAAGAATGAAGGCATCAGTGCTTCGCAGATCCTTTCATGCCCTGACATGTGACCTTGACGTCCATTCCTATTTTTTGGACACGACATCATTGCTGCCAGATTTGGCCTCCAGTCGCTGGTTCAAAGAGTTAGAGGTGTGGGTTTTGTGGAGGACCGAGGATTTGAGCTATTCTTGTGTTGGTGAAAACTGGCAATTTCGTGATGTGCATCTCAGTTTGTTTTTGTTTCTATTTTTGTATTTCCTTTTTCAAACCTCTTGAGTGTATCCCATTTATAAATGGCGAACGAAGCATGATTATTAATCATACGACTGGGATGCACGTCTCAGTACTGTCCCTGCTCTTGTAGTTGTGATACTTCGGATTTCTTCGGTCCAGATCTTGCGAAAACCATGGATGTTGCCGGTTGCTCGGGTAATGATGCTAGTTTATTGGTGATTACAGGGCAAGCAAAAACATCATGCAGCAGTATGGCTGGTTGTTGGGGAATGTGAGTCATAGCTAGCTGCTCGAAGAACGCGTCCTGACCAACCACCCAGTACAAGCTCCTCATAATGGGGGTTGTGCTAGGTGAAACAACCAAAAAATCACCATTTCCAATCGAAAAATCACCTTTTCCCACGGGTGAGTAACTCCATGTCGATCTTTTCAGGTAGAGCAAGCATTCTTCATCAATGTCATTGGGTAACCCCTGGTAAACAACATAGCTATTGAAAATGGCCATTTAGAGTTGATTTACCCATTAATAGCATGGTGATTTTTCCATACTTATCTTAGTTTACCAGAGGGTATATGATGGTACTATTTTCGCCACAGCTGAATCCCCGGCGCCAGGCCTCTTGGGCTGCCGGCGCAGCCGCGGCGAAGCCGCCTGCGCCAAAGCCAGTGCCACCTGCGCCGCAAGCGCCAGCGGCTCAAGCGGAACTGGTCCGGAGCCATGGAGCAGCACTTTTTTTTGGCGATGGGAATGCGGAAAGCCTAGGCATTCTACTACATTCATATATTATAGACATATTATAGATACATACATGATATATATGATTCTGTTTGGGCCTTAGCTTTTCATTACGAGGGTTTCTATGAGTGCGTAGATGGGATATGGTCTGGGGTCGCCACATTGGCCCAGCCAGCTTCATTTTTATGGTGAACCCAGGGACCATGATTCCACTGGTTTTTGGGGGTTTGGTGAATCCGAAAACACATTCATTTCTAGCCTTCAGAATCTTACAGGATGGGGCCCCCAAGATAGCTAAGTTGCCCTATAAGTGGCTTAACTATGGTTTATGGTAGATATAACTATAGTTAATGGATGTTAATGGGGTTTACAAACCAACTTATAACTTGGGGGCCCCATCCTGTATGTCTTGCATAAGATTTGATTTCAGAGACCTTCCCATCGTTGCCCCGCAGACGCTAGAGCCGATGGTGGAACCCGTGACAAAGTCGGCAGGTGTTGAAGGCGCTGTAACGGGATTCTTGCACCGAATGGGCCAAGGCTTTACCACAAACTCGTGGCGACTTTCATGGGGAAAACAAGGGACAATGATGATCAGTTGGATGTTCAAAGTTGGCAGAAACCTTTCAGGCAACACCTGACATTGATGATCAAAATATGATTCCCCATGAATGGCAGCGCAGGTCTGGTCTTGACGCCGACCTACTTTCATTTCAGGCGGATTGTGGGATTCTGCGATTCCGGACGCAGGTCCTCTGAGGCAGCAACAATCATTGAAGAACAACTCCCAAACAGATAGAAACATGTTTCCAGGATGTTATGGAAGATGCTTCGCTCATTCATTTCCAGCTTTTTTTTAACTTTTCACAATTGTTTTAGGGGTTGCTATACTCTATGGCTAGTGACATTTTTGACGGCGCAAAACATGGGAAGTCCCATGGTTCTGGCCTTAACGCAGGAGCGACGAGTAGGATTCACCATCGCCGCAGTGTGGCCACACCGTAGGAGATTCAGTGCGTTGGGCGATTCTCGCGTAGCGTTGGATTTCCGGCTTGGCAGATTTGGGTATGGTATGGGTCAATACCTATAGATACATTACTATAGTGGGATGAACATCCATAAATCCCAGCTATGACTTGGGGTTCACTAGGTACCAGGGTTTTGACCCATCCCCATTTGTTTACATGCCAGACAGCACATTTTTTGTGGCAAGGTCCCTCAACCCAATCCCTGAAGTTTGCGAACCCAATCGGCGTAACACCGTGAGTGAAGCCTGAGGCATTGTACCATAGTTTCCTGAAGCAGATGGAGGTGGCACGAAGGAACTGCCACATCAATTGGGGCTGGCTAGTCTTTACCCTTTTTGCATCTTGTAGATACAGGATGATTGTCTGCGTGGAGCCCTTTATGTTCCGGACAACAACAGTCTTTGGCGGATATTGGTTGGAAAAGTGGAGCATGCAAACTTTGCCAACAATCGGACATCAGACATCATGGTGAAAACCAGCGATCAATTCCAGTACTTATTTCAAAGCCATCAAATTCAATACTTATTTCAGGGTGCCAAACCAAAAAAAAGGTCCCCCAACTGATGCCTCTTATCAGCGCGGAGAGCAGCTGTGATGTCAATGCCTCAATGCGAAAATACGGTGCCCGGAAAAAGATCTGGAGTCGCGATGGATGTGCACCAAAGAGCTGTCAGTTGTTACATTCCCAAAAACATGTGTATACATATATACATACAATATAATACATGCACATATGGTCACATATGTTTATCTATTATACATACCATATAGGTGTAATATGATGTATACATATTTGGGCATGTACATGGCTGGAGTTGATCTATTTTGTAAACGGGTGAACTAATCGTGATGATCAATCACATACCAACTGGGATTGATGCACATCCAAGTCGGGCGGCCCAAACTTTCGGTGCCGCACCTAAGGACAACCATCAGAACTTGTACAAGGTATTATATATACACGTATACATACATTAATTACAATACTGAGGTGTATGAATGTCTGAGGTGTATGCATTGTGTACAAGGCGGGATGGATGGCTCGCCAGCCCGTTACGGCTCAAGATTTCCACAACCTCGGCCATTGCGAGAGGCCGCTCGTTCGCAGCTGCAAGGGTCAAGTGGTACGCTGTTGGTAGTTGTAGCTGCTGAACATTTCAGATAAAACTTCCAGAAAACATTGAGGTTTCACTTCTTACAGGAAGCCCAAAGATGAACAGGATCCCTTCAGATTGTCCGATGTTCGCCCAGGTTGCACAGTTCTAAAGCGATGAAGCAGCTCTTTGGAATCCCTCCTAGACGTGAGGTGTGTTGAGAGTGGCTGTCAACAGGGAGTTTCCTCCCCCCACCCAGAGGATTTGCCTATCAAAAAACGAGGAAAAGAGGTTCGTAAACCAGTGGCCCTTCTTGTCCCTATTCTTGTTCTTGATACAGACATACATACATTATATATACAAATCAGGATCTCACAACGAATCACGCAAACATTGGCCAACATCTGAGGTTTGTGAACTATGTCCACTTGCCAAAGTTGATCGTCAAATCCCCTTTTTTTTTGGTGGTTAGACTCCTTTCTTTATATTTTGACTCCAGTCCAATTTTTTTTAACAGGTTACATATTCCCAGTTCGTTTTGAATTCCGAAACAACAATAGTGGGCTATATTCTGCGAATACCAAGTTTTCCCCCCCTCTGGCAATCAATGATGGTCGTGGAGAATCTGCATTTAGCTGGATGATTTTTCCAGCCAGCCATGCTTGATGACACCTGAGAGTAGATGCTTAATAGTAGCGAATAAGCCCGTAGTTATATCAGTTAGTGTAGCCAATAGATGTGGCTTAAATTGCCACAATATACCATAACTATCCAGAACTATATTCACTAGATCAATATCATACCATGGAACAGTGGGGTGATTAGATCAGACCTAGGTTTCATATATTTGCATTTGTATTTTTTTTCCATATATTTCCTTTTATTTGTGTTTTTTGTTTTTATGTTTGTGTTTCTTGTTTTTTTTCATGTTTTTTTCAGTTTTTTTTTTTTGTATTGCTTTGGTTTATCATCTGTTGAACTGCTACACAAACTTTATTGCCTTATGTTTTGAGATTTTTTGAGACTTTTTGAGATTTTTTGAGGCTCTGTAAATCTAATGAACAATAGTAAATTTAAAGGCTCGAGATTTTTTGAGCTTTCCTAAGCTCATAATATAGCATTTCCTTTTTGAGTTTTTTTGATATTTTTTGAAATTTCTTGGGATTTTTTGAGTTTTTTTTTTTTTAATCATTTAAAACATTTAAAATCTCATTTGTTTTTTCTATACCATGGAAACCCTACCGATCCAAACCCTCACCGATCCATGGTATGAAATTTATCTGGTGGTGATATATTACCGGTAATATACCTAGAACATTCCCACAATATACCCAATCGATGGTGGTTAACTATGGGGTTGCAACAAAAGTTCAGCTTCTTTTCGGGGCCCTCCAGGAGGAGGAGGTACCTAGCTCTGCGCGCTCCAACGCCTCAGGTGGGGGCGTTCTTACGTTTTGGGGGTAGTCCTACTAAAATGGTGGGACATGGGGGGTAGCACCATGGATTGGAAACCAGCATAAGGGGAAACTGCCTAGAATATGGGGAGTTAATTCCTTAATTCCATCCATATGCGATTTTCGTAGCCCAAAAGCGTATTTCCAGGAAGATTTGGTCAAGGTCGGTTCGGGGGTTCAGAATCGAATCCGGTGTGTTGGCACTTACCAAGAACAATATCTCTATGTGAATGCGGTGCACATTTGATCATAGAAAACCTTCATGATTTGTTGGTACATCAAGTCGGTTGGGCCAATTCAAGACCCTGATGCCGTTTGTTGGCTGTTGTTTGTTTAGTTAACAAATTTGGGGTTGACCATTTTGGCTCATTCTCAAACGGTTATGTAAGGCTTGTTTTTCGTTCAGTGAATCTATTTTTTAGGAGGGCCGGACATGTCATGTCAGTGCCAAGTATCCGACGCGGAATCATATATCCGATGCAACGGTGGATTATGTTTAATGGTTACATATATACATATACAGAAAACATATACATATACATATACATATACATGTACATATACATCCGAACGGCCCGGAAATCGGCCCAGCATTTTCATCAATTTTCGTGTTCATTGTGATTTTTGTCTTGTTGAAAACTTGGCATTTGCCACATATTTATATCATGGTGGTGTCTTTTGGCACTTCATTTCCATTGGGATCTATGAAAATTCCTTGCTTTATCGCAGTGGGAGCTCAAAAATGCATGTTGAACACCCTCAAAAAACGTTACGTTTTTTGGATGGTTTTGCGTTTCGCCACAGCGCCAGCGATTCTTTTCCATCACTTCAACTTGCGGACCGTCTTTGCAGTGATATCACACACATCAGCATTTCGATGTATGTATCGCCATTGCCAAGCCTTGACATATGTCATGATCATTGGACTTTGGCTAGCTACCTGGCAGCATCTTTTTACAGGCCTTCCAGCAACCATCTATTGTACCAGTATGGGCAAGCACCTTTGGGCTGCCTCGCTGGACACGGCGCACAGTCTTTGTAAATTGGCCTTCGGGGTGGTTCACAAGCTTATACGTGTACAACGTAGTATGAAGTGTGTTCACCGAAGTACAGAAGTGTGCAACGTAACATGAAGCGTGTTCACCCGAGTACAACAGAAGTTTGCAACGTAACATGAAGTGTGTTCATTGAAGCACAACAGAAGTGTGCAACGTAACATGACGTGTGCTCGCCCAAGTACAACAGAAGTGTGCAATGTAACGTGAAGTTTGACCACCGAAGTACAACAGAAGTGTGCAACATAACATGAAGTGTGTTCACCGAAGTACAACAGAAGTGTGCAACGTAACATGAAATGTGTTCACCGAAGTGCAACAGAAACGTGTAACGTAACATGAAGTGTGTTCACTGAAGAAACTCGATTATAACGTAGACACAGGACGTTATTACACCCCCCCACCCCAACCCCCCCAACATATCACAACGCAAAAAAAAAACGCAAAAACGCTGGGCCGGCTTTCGGGCCTTAGGCATATACATATACATATACAGATACACATACAATCACATACATATACATATACATATACAGATACACATACATATACATATACATTTACGCATACCGCATACATACTATAAATATAAATCTAAGCAACAAACCCGTAGCCACATCTTGCAGGCGACTCCAACGACAGTCCCAGCTATGGTAAGATGAAATTGGTGATCAAGAACACCTTCATAGGACAGGGCCTTGGGGATCTTGGGGCCTTCGGGTTCATGGATTGGCTCAAAGACTCAAAGACTGGGACGCTTGAAACCGGCATGGAAATGATCCAATAGTACTACTCCAATTTAATAATACCCTTAGTAAATAATACTCATTGTAGTTCTGAAATAAACCTAATATTTAACGAGTAAATTCGCATTAGGTTTTCTCGACTTTTTCCATGGACATTAAGACCTTGCGCATGTAAAATGGGGTTCCCAAGGGCACAGATTGGTGCCATCAAAGTCTCGGGTGGTCATTTGGGGGTTTCCCTAAATGGGGGATCCCCAAAATGGTTGGTTTAAAACAATGGAAAATCCTATTTCAATGGATGATTTGAGGCACCCCTATTTGAGGAAACCTCCAGTTGGGGGCTTGCAATTGCAGTTCCATCCAAGAATGAGCTGAGATCATCCAATGATGTGCCTGGTGTATGGATGTCATGATCAATTTTCTTTCCATTTGTCACCCCACGAGTGGAATCTCAGTCCGAAAGTCCTCAAGTTTCAAGCCACGTCTCAGGAGTGGATTTCCAACAAGTAAACCACACTGGGTGAACCCCTTCAGACTAGGTGCTAATCATTTATCATCATTTATACCAGTTCTGCCAATGGCGTTCGCTTCGCTTAAGCCATAAACATTTGTAGTGGTATCACCGATCTCCCAAGAAAACGTAGGAATGCAAGAGTCCCAGAATTGCTTCTCTTGTGACCAGAATCGCAACCACAACATTCTCTTTCATCCTTTGAAACACAAAAACATGTTGATTGAATATGGTTGAATCAGCATGTTTATTGCTTCAATCCCCATGTTTGGTGAAATCCTCAGTGAAGCCCTCGTGTATTGGTGACCGCGTTTGTGGCTTCGATGCAGGCGGCTACGACGAGCCTGTAGGTGATGATGATGATGATGATCGCCCACCTCCTACCTTGGCACGGTCTGCGAGCGACAGTTTCTCAGCTGCTCCGGTTTTGACGTTTCGTTTTTTTTGGAAAGTGGCAATGAAACACAGGCATACCCTCCTGTTTTCATTAACATAGATAGAAAAAACAATAAAATTAACAGGAGGATGAATGAATGGGAATACTGAAAATAGAAGACTAATTTTCAAAATGGGGTTATAAAACTAAACTGTAGTGGGAATATAATGAGATATGATATAATGGGATATAATGGTATAAAGGTAAACCCAATAAACCAGCTAGGTTCGATTTTAATGCCGCCCAAATGGTGAAAGTGGGTAAATGAGGTATGGTTTATGAATTGGGATGAAATGGGTTTACAAGATGCAGGTATAAAAACCAAACCATAATGTCCAAAAGTCAGGGGGATGACACCACCAGCGAGACATGTGTTTTTCATCCTTTTCGAGAGATCTGGGAAGCCTGCAAGTTGGAGATGAAACCTCATCTTTTCACAGGTGGAGGTGACGGAAACCGGGATTTTCACCGGGAAATGGAAGGGAACCAATGATGGGTCTCAGCCATCGATTCTCATGGTTAACCTGGTTCCGAGGGTGAACTTGGGTGCCGGCACAAAGATTCCCAGATGATGACAAGTTAGAGGAACACTGTATATTTGGGGTTTAACGCCAGGGGTTGCCCCGAAAATGTTCCCATCATCCAAGAGATGGGTTACAGCAATGGCATATTGGGATATTCACCACTAATAATCCATACTGTATGTACTATTCCATACTTACATGGAGATATCTTCTATTTCCATCATTTCAATGTTGCAACATCATCATTAATGATTGGCGGTATTGATTGGGTTGCGGCCGAGAGAGATCTGCCCAATTTAAAGATGGACATTTCTGGGCACCAAGTAAGCAGCTTCACAAGAGGATAGAAACCATATGAAACCATATACTATCTACAGTATACATTATATGATTATAGATACATACATTTACATGTGGTTTACCTCTTTAAATCGGGGGAACTAACAATGAACAATGCTCAACCAACGGGCATTTTTGCGGGTACGTAGAGCTCCCAGTTCGCCGTTCGCGGGCGCTCAACGCGCTGACGAGGTAAACTGGACTGCCAATCCAGCACCAGTTCGGTGGTCTTTTGGTACCCTCAGCCAGGGCACCTCAGGCATCTCCCAGTTTCACCCAGGTTCGATGCTGATTTCGCAGCTATGAAGCTCCATAAATTGGGGGGATTGAGCCATGTTACCCATGTTCAATGGCACCGAGAATAGATGGTTAATTGTGGTTAATAAGCCCTTAGTTACAATAGTTTATATGCCAGATGGGGGTTGATTTTTTCAAGTAACTAGTTGTATTTTCCAGATGGGTTAAAGTTTCCAAGCTTAAAATCCCAGATGGGGGTTACATTGTGGTTGTAGTTACCTTAGCATAAGCTAACATAGGTGTGGAACATGACCCATTTATCGATGAATTACCTCTAAAAATGGTGATTTTCCACATTTAAACTTAGTTTGCCCAAGGGTAAAAAGTTGTTTGCTCCCTCTTATTTAATTGCCTTCGGCAAGCCCGCCGGCCATAGAGTGGTGGCCCCAGGGGAGTTTGATGTGCAGCTTCTGTGTGTAAAAAGCTTCTCTGTGTAAAAGCGTCTGTGTGTAAAAGGTTCTGTGTGTAAAAGCTTCCGTGTGTAGCAGCTTCTGTGTGTAAAAGCATCCGTCTGTAAAGCTTCCGTGTGTATAAGCTTCTGTGTGTAAAAGATTCTGCGTGTAAAAGCTTCTGTGTGTAAAAGCTTCTGTGTGTAAATGCTTCTGTGTGTAAAAGTGTCTATGTGTAAAAAGGTTCTGTGTGTAAAAGCTTCTTTTGTAAAAGCGTCTGTGTGTAAAGCGTCTGTGTGTAAAAGCTTCTGTGTGTAAAAACGTCTGTGTGCAAAAGTGTCTGTGCGTAAAAGCTTCTGTGTGTAAAAGCTACAGCTACTGTGTGTAGAAGCTTCTGTGTGTAAAAGTTTCTGTGTGTAAAAGTGTCTGTGTGTAAAAGTGTTTGTGCGCAAAAAGTTCTGTGTGTAAAAGCTACAGCTACTGTGTGTAGAAGCTTCTGTGTGTAAAAGCTTCTGTGTGTAAAAGTGTTTGTGCGCAAAAAGTTCTGTGTGTAAAAGCTACAGCTACTGTGTGTAGAAGCTTCTGTGTGTAAAAGCTTCTGTGTGTAAAAGTGTTTGTGCGCAAAAAGTTCTGTGTGTAAAAGCTACAGCTACTGTGTGTAGAAGCTTCTGTGTGTAAAAGCTTCTGTGTGTAAAAGTGTTTGTGCGCAAAAAGTTCTGTGTGTAAAAGCTACAGCTACTGTGTGTAGAAGTTTCTGTGTGTAAAAGCCTCTGTGTGTAAAAGCGTCTGTGTGTAAAAGTGTTTGTGCGCAAAAAGTTCTGTGTGTAAAAGCTACAGCTACTGTGTGTAGAAGCTTCTGTGTGTAAAAGCTTCTGTGTGTAAAAGTGTCTATGTGTAAAAAGGTTCTGTGTGTAAAAGCTTCTTTTGTAAAAGCGTCTCTGTGTAAAAGCTTCTGTGTGTAAATGCTTCTGTGTGTAAAAGTTTCTGTATGTAAAAGCTTCTGTGTGTAAAAGCTTCTTTTGTAAAAGCATCTGTGTGTAAAGGCTTTTGTGTGTAAAAGCTTTTGTGTGTAAGAGCTTCTGTGTGTAAAAGGTTCTGTGTGTAAAAGCTTGCGCGTGTAGTAGCTTCGGTGTGTAAAAGCATTTGTCTGTAAAAGCGTCTGTTTGTAAAAGCGTCTGTGTGTAAAAGGTTCTGTGTGTAAAAGGTGTAAAATCTTCTATGTGCAAAAGGTTCTGTGTGTAAAAGGTTCTGTGTGTAAAAGCTTCTGGGTGTAAAAGCTTCTGTGTGTAAAAAACACCAAAAATCCTTCACTCTGCTCGGGGAGAGCTTTTTGGACGGAATCCGAGAAAGCCTCTGTGTGTAAAAGCTTCTGTGTGTAAAAGCGCCTGTGTGTAAAAGTGTCTGTGTGTAAAAGCTTTTGTGTGTAAAAGCTTCCGTGTGTAAAAGCTTCTGTGTGTAAGGGCATCTGAAGAGTCGAAGTCGGAGTAGGCGTAGGAGTGGGAGAAGGAGTGGTGGTAGTAGTAGTAGTAGTGGTGGTGGTGGTGGTGGTGGTAGTAGTAGTAGAAGTAGTAGTAGTAGTAGTAGTCGTAGTAGTAGTAGTAGTCGTAGTGGTAGTGGTAGTGGTAGTGGTAGTGGTAGTCGTAGTCGTAGTAGTCGTAGTCGTAGTAGTAGTAGTACTACTAGTAGTACTAGTAGTACTAGTAGTACCAGTAGTACCAGTAGTACCAGTAGTACTAGTACTAGTAGTAGTAGTAGTAGTAGTAGTAGTAGTAGTAGTACTAGTAGTAGTAGTAGTAGTACTAGTAGTACTAGTAGTACTAGTAGTAGTAGTAGTAGTAGTAGTAGTAGTAGTACTAGTAGTAGTAGTAGTAGTACTAGTAGTACTAGTAGTACTAGTAGTACTAGTAGTACTAGTAGTACTAGTAGTACTAGTAGTACTAGTAGTACTAGTAGTATTAGTAGTACTAGTAGTACTAGTAGTACTAGTAGTACTAGTAGTACTAGTAGTACTAGTAGTACTAGTAGTACTAGTAGTACTAGTAGTACTAGTAGTACTAGTAGTACTAGTAGTACTAGTAGTACTAGTAGTCCTAGTAGTCCTAGTAGTACTAGTAGTACTAGTAGTACTAGTAGTACTAGTAGTACTAGTAGTACTAGTAGTACTAGTAGTACTAGTAGTACTAGTAGTACTAGTAGTACTAGTAATACTAGTAGTACTAGTAGTACTAGTAGTACTAGTAGTACTAGTAGTACTAGTAGTACTAGTAGTACTAGTAGTACTAGTAGTTCTAGTAGTACTAGTAGTACTAGTAGTACTAGTAGTACTAGTAGTACTAGTAGTACTAGTAGTACTAGTAGTACTAGTAGTACTAGTAGTACTAGTAGTACTAGTAGTACTAGTAGTACTAGTAGTACTAGTACATGTAGTACTTAGAGGGGGGAGGGGAAGGGGGGGGACTTTGATTCAGACGAAGCAAAAACGCGAGAACAATCCACAAGTACATGCCAAGAACAGAAACAAGTACAAACCAAGAACAGAAACAAGAACAACACCTTCCAATCAGACACGCCGGCAGGCAGGCCGGGGGATTTACTGGTTCATAACAGTTAACCACAATTCCAATGCCCAGGCGGGGAGGTGGCAACATGAGCCAGTCAAACTCCAGCAGGGGCGCCAAAAACTCGGCGAGAACGGGGTGACGAAAAGGCACAGTTCTTGAAACTGATGAGGGATATTGGTTAAATCAATGCAACGGCTATATTTCATTGATACATAAAGGGATAAAGTGATGGTAAAATAATGTTATATATATATAACCCGTGGATAGATTATGGGATCAAGAACGATTTATAACTTGATGTGAGGGTATATACCAGCCATCATGATATGGGTCTGTCTGGAAGTGGATTTGGATTCCACTTGAGAATGGCCTTCGGCTTCATGGGGAAACCGTGATAAAAAGCACTGAATGGGGTACCGTATTTGAAGATACCAAATTCATCTGGGGCCGATTTTTTGCTCCTCACAACGCGGCTAAAGTTGGCTTAGGTGTGGCCTCCCGTAGCGATGCTGGACAAGATGATGATGATCATCCCAATCATCCCCATCCGGAGCCCTATCATCAATTGGCTCCTTGATTCTGTGGGGGTTGGCTGTTTGGATTCTGAGGGTGGGCTTGGAAGCTGTGTTTTGGTAGGGGATAACAGAGTTCACAACAGTCAACCATCTCTTCGTCAGCCTTGTGTGACTTCTGCCATCGTGGTACACTGTACCCTCATCTGCAAAAAGAAAAGATTGCGGTGTTTGCCACCGGAAAACATGGACAGAAGTGGGACAATCGACAGTGCATACAATCGAAGGGAGTGTGGTTCTCATTTTCCCTGCTCCTAGCCACGCTCAGTTTGATCGCAACAAACGTGGGTCCTTAGAGCAGGCTTGGGATGGGGTTCAAATTGGGCTCTACTTATTGGTCCGTGATCCTGATTAAATGGAGAGCATCGTGAGCG